TATTAATGATAACAGAAAAGAAATTATGTATAAAGTGCATTTAATTTTAATTATTTATTAGATTTATAATAACTTTGCATACTGTCAGATTCATAGACAAAGGCGTAATCTGTGTAGTCGGTATATCCAGTGGTCGCTGTCACAGAATTATAATCATATTCACTGTCATCTGTATCACCTGTAAAAGGGGGGAAAAACAAACACTTAGAAGGTCATTATGTGGAGATGTTTTTGGAGAGTGGAGAGTTTGAGTTACACTCTAATCTTTAAAGCCATTTAACGCTGTTGTTTTTCATTTTCAAAATACTAAGCTAATCAGGCTTTAAAATAAGTGTGAGTCAAAAATGCAGAATGTGTTGGGTTTTTTTATTTGTATTTAGTGGTTTTGAATAATGACATAATGACATTTAAAAAATGTCAAACCTTTTACCTCTTCTGAGAAGTCTGCTTTAGAACAATGAGAGCGTGTTCATTTCATGTTGTGTTCTGATGTGGACTGATTTTGGGAGAAAATGTATGGAAAAGTCGTGGCATGTGAATGGAAAACAGTAAGGTGACACAAGGTAAGAAAACCTGGCAGAAAACACTTGCTGAAGTTACAGTATTCAACCACAGCCAACCAACTGAAACATTGTGATGGTCTGAAACCGTTCTTTTACAATGTCAGGCATTGAGTTTCCCCTCATTGAACCTGGCAGCTCACTGTTTTACCCAACTACAGAACAGGTATAGACAAGATCTTAATACATTCTACAGTCCTGGCTTAATGTACCTCATAACCACAGCTCATATCTAGAGAAAGTGTTTTTTTTCCTGGCAGCTTAAATGAGTGGTAAAAACAAATCCGCACTACTTCCGCTTTCATTTTTTAGTCATTTCCTTAGTCTTGATATAATCAGTATGAATTAAATCACATACACAACTGGTTGGGCTGTGGCATTCATTGTTCTCACACTGATTTTGAGACAGTCGGTAAATGCCGGGAAGACAACCACCTCATTTACACACATATTCAGTTATCAGCTAAAACATTTGAGACAACAGGATGAACTGCTTAAGACTGTTAGATGATTGTCTGTACTTGTTCTGGTGTGTGTGTGCATGTGTGTGTGTGTGTGTGTGTGTGTGTGTGCTCGCACATGCTTGGACAAGCTTTTTTATGTTTGCTATTCATTTCTCAGCGTGACGAGAGAACTGATTGGTTTTTTTTCCTGAGCATCTTTAAAAAAGAGCAATTAGGGTAAAATGAGATATATGGGGAAAAAATATGTACCTTGATGTCAAAGTGTTTTGCACTGTGCAACAGTTCCACAATGCATGGCAAATATGAGAATGTTGGCATGTTTTTGAGGCAAGCAGACAGTGAGGAAATTTGGAATTAACACAGAGAACTGTAAACTGTCAGTCTGTTATCACCCTCATATTTTCTTGAGCATATCTGTAGGGGTCTGGGAAAACCCAACCAATGTCATAGCAGCTGAATTCTGGCAAACAGCCAAAAAAAAAAAGACACAAACTCATTTTTAGAAAAAATTGGGTTTTTTCTGCACATAACTGATGTTGAAAGTAACACCTATCCTGAAAGTGTTTTATTAACCCTGTAATCTTGCCTAGGCGTTCTGCAGAAATCACTTTAAATAAATAAGGAGCCAGTTAAACAAAAGGTTTCAAAACATTATACAGCAGAAAATGCTAACATTTCACCAGGTGAAGGGTTTCCCCAGGCTGCCTCACATTCACAGTTTCCTCTGTCTTTTTGGTAAACAGATTATGAAACTGAACATAAATGAGAAGAAGCTTTATTAAGCTTTCAAACTGACACATGGTAATTAAAAAGTAAAAATCTACTTTTTCAGCTTATATCAGTCCTGAAGAAAAAAAAAATCATTCCCACAGTCTTTGAACAACTGTTGAATTTCATAATTTAATTTTAGTTTGTTTTTTTTTTTTTACTATGATGGCTTTTAGCACAAACAATTTTTGGTGAAATGCATTTTTAAAGTAACCTTTCAACCTTAATGAATACAATTGTTAACTGTTATATCAGCAACTTCACCACATGTATTTGGGAAGTGAGGAAAAAACAAGACATAAATGTGGAAGTAGTACTTACCCAAACACTGAGGCACTAACAAAGCCCCTATCACCCACAGAGAGATCAGTCCTGCATTCATGCTGGAGAAGTGTGTGATTGCAGAGTTGTGTGTGTGTCTGTCTGTGTGTGTGTGTGTGTAGTGAGCAGTCAGACACATGCATATCTCCACGTGCTGTGTTTATGTACAGGAGTGTGTCACAGGACTGGGTTGGGCTAAAACAGACTGCTAATACAAACCCATCTCTCTTATTGGTCCTTTGGCTTTTATAAACTTACAGACAGGTGACAAATTAAAGGAAAAGCCAACATAAGGTCTAAAGTAAGTCTTAAGTAAGGTGTTGGGCCCAAACAAGCCACCAGAATAGCTTCAATATTTGGCACAGTCTCTGGAACTGTACTGGGGTAATGAACAGCATTCTTCCAAAAGATATTCCCTCAGCTGGTGTTTTGATGATAATGGTGGTGGAAAGCACTGTCTAAAATCTCCAATAGCTATTCAGTTGTATTGAGATCTGGTGACTGAAGGCCATAGCGTATGATTTACATTTTTTCCGCATCAAACCATTCAGTGACTCCCTGTGCCGTGTAGATGGGGGCAGAGTCATCCTGGAAGAGACCACTCCCATTAGAATAGAAATATTTCATCATAGAATAAAGATGATGAGTCAGAAGAACTTTGTATTGATTTGCAGTGACCATTCCCTCTAAGTGGACTCAAATCATGTCAGATAAATGTCTGTCACAACATAGCAGATTCGCCGATTTGTACTTGAATTTGTCACCTATGTGTATATAACATTGTTTATTAATTCATTAACTGATGTCTATAGACATTTTGTTTTATTTATTTAAAATAATTTTATTTTATATCTTTTTCCAGATGTTTCTTGGTTGATTGGCTAGTTTACATAGCTCTTTGTCTGCTATGTTAGATAGTTCTCATGTCCACAGGACAAATCTAGAGGCAGATCCAAACACGCAGTGGCTTTGTTATTCTTGGTTTCACCTTAATATGTCAGTAGTAATGAAGTTTCCATGCGTTTCAGTTAAAATATTGTTAGTATTTATTAACCCCTTAAGGAAAACACATCTCAGTCATTATGTAATATTTAGAAATTATTAAAGGAGATGTCTCAAAGTATATTTTAAGAGGACACATACACAGGACAATATACTTCTGTGAACTAGCTAAAAGTACAGCACTGGCACATGCTCCTGTGAGAAACACTTTACATTTTAGTCACTGACATTTTAGAATATGCTACTTAGTACTTCTTCAGGAAGCAGGTCTCCACATTAAAAAGGAGCCTATGTGGTGTATGGTAAATAAGATCCACAGTTAATATAAGGTGTTTATTTTGTAGTTTTCCAAGAGAAATTTAAGATTCGGTCATTATTCGGTCATTATCACACTCTGAGTAGTTAACTTTTATTCCTTGGTTCTTAATAGCTGCTATTGTCTGTCTATCTGTCTATCTTTTACTTACATTTTTTAATGAAAACTTACTAAACTTTGTTAACAATATAAAATTATTACAATAGCAAAATGCTGGACATGTGCATTAAAATTACTTTTATTTTTTATTAACACTATATTGCATAATAAATTATCTCTTTCACTGGATGCCTTTCAGTGTGCATTGCTGAGATTAATGGCATTAGTTCTATAAAATACTGATTAATTACAAAGTGAATAACAAAATATTAGCTTCATGTTTAGTGGTATCTCATGCTATTATTATTTATTGTCATATTATACTGCTCAGTTGTTAGCATTAGACAATGCTTTCACAGGAATCTAAGTGAAATCATTACACATGGCAATAGAAATCAGCAGGAAAAAATCCCATGCTTCATGTGGTTTTCCTTAGAATAATTCAGTACTTTTGAATCTAATTTCTCCCAGAGATTCTTCTCCCAAGATTCACTAAGCACTCTTGTAGCTCAGTAGTTAAATTTAAGTGAATTGTCATCATGTGACTATGGTTTTGATTAGAGGAAACCAGTAGCCTAGACAGCATTTCACCATAAAAATGCAAGCTGAACAAAGGAATAAGAACAAAGTGATTTGGCTGTTTGTCAGAGGGAAGAGAAAGTCATTGTTTGATGGAGAACAAAGATGTTAAAGTGCTTTCGTTTCCTGTTTTTCATTCAGTAGCAAGGATATTGTATTATCCTGCCAGTAGAGAAACAGTTTTTATACTGAATGTAGTGGCCCAATGCCTTGAACCACCGAATCTGCCCTTTTATTGCAGTCGGTCATCTCAATGCACATAGTAGATAATGTCATTCATTTGTGTCAATCATATAATAAGAGCAGTGAGTCATTCTTGTGCTTTCAGTCGGCTAATTGCAAGATCCAGACACATTGAGGCACAGCTGTGTCACAGACATAGAGCAGTTAATGGAAATTCCCAGTCGACGAACATTCATCAGCCATAATACAACCAAAAGCAGATACAAATAACTCTACAGTTTTACAAGAACAAGATCATAGTCACAGACAGCTTTAGGCCCTACACAAGTCATGTAGGGAATAAGCCCTTTTCTTTCACAACTAAAGAATTGTTTTTTCAAAACAATGGAACAAGGATTATTGCCAAATAATGGGTCACATGTCACTTACAACATTGTCTCTACCTTACAGACCCTACACTTTTTTAAATCATAAGCCTCTAAGACATTTACGTGAACACCTGAATATGTTACATTATGTTTTAAAAAACACAGGATCACTCCTACAATATATTTAATAATCTTTAAAGTTCAGTGCACACCCTTCATGAAAATAAGCAAAAATCTTCTTCAGTTCAGACCGCAGTGAGATGAGATGGTCATTGCAAATATATATATATATATACATTTGTATTAAAAACTTTTATCAAGATGATGTCATATATATGGGGGCACAGTGGTTTAATGGTTAGCATATTTGCCTCGCACCTCCAGGGTTGGGGGTTCAAATTCCACCTCAGCCCTGTGTGCACGGAGCTTGCATATTCTGCCCATGCTTTGGGATTTTCCTCCATGTACTCTGGTTTCCTCCCCCAGTCCAAGTACATGCATTGTAGGCCAGTTGGTATCTCTAAATTGTTCATGAGTTGGCACTCTGCCCAGGGTGTCCCCCACTTTGTGCCCCTGGCACCAAGACATTAGCAGCAGATCCTGTAAGTTACGAGGTGGGGCCTCCATGGATTGGACTTGTTTGTCCAGCACATCCCACAGATGCTCCATCGGCTTGAGATCTGGGGAATTTGGAGGCCAATCAACACCATGAATTCTTTGTCATGTTCTTCAAACCATTCCTGAACAATTTTGCAGTGTGGCAGGGCACTGTAACCTGCTGAAAAAGGCCACTGCCATGAAGGGGTGTACTTGGTCTACAACAATGTTTAGGTTGGTGATACGTGTCAAAGTAACATCCACATGAATGCCAGGACCCAAGGTTTCCCAGCAGAACATTGCCCAGAGCATCATACCACCTCTGCTGGCTTGCCATCTTCCCATAGTGCACCCTGGTGCCATCTCTTCCCCAGGGAAGCAACGCACACGCACCCGTCCACATGATGTAAAAGAAAGCATGATTCATCAGACCAGGCCACCATCTTCCATTGCTCCCAGGTCCAGTTCAGTTGCTCACATGCCCATTGAAGGTGCTTTTGGCAGTGGACAGTGGCACTCTGAGTGGTCTGCTGCTACGCAGCCCCATATGCAGCAAGCTGCGATGCACTTTATGTTCTGACACCTTTCTATCATAGCCAGCATTAACTTTTCCAGCAATTTGTGCTACACCAACTCTTCTGTGGGATCAGACCAGACGGGCTAGCCTTCGCTCCCCACATGCATCAGTGAGCATTGGGTATCCTGTCACCAGTTCACCGGTTGTCCTTCCTTGGACCTCTTTTGGTAGGTACTAACCACTGCATTCCGGGAACACCCCACAAGACCTGCTGTTTTGGAGATGCTCTGACCCAGTCGTCTAGCCATCACAAGTTGTCCCTTGTGAAAGTCGCTCAGATCCTTATGCATGCCCATTTTTCCTACTTCCAACACATCAACTTTCAGAACTGACTGTTTTATATACATATAAAAAGACCAAAAATAAACCTAACCTAACATGTAGTCACTTTGTGTTCCAGGTTTCTGCCTTTGAAGTACCTTTTTGGTCTAGCAAGTTCATTAGCTGCAAATAGTCATACAAATGTTACTCAGTGTCATGTTACTCAGTGGAATGTACACAGGGGGGACTAAGAATACAGGGTAGTTACTGTCAAAGGGAAAGAATTTCTCTGATTGGGTTCAATGTTGGTGCTATACCACAATAATATCTTGCTGAGTGTGACAACCTCTGGGCTTGTTTTGGCATATGGGTTTTGTGTATACTCTTCCTGTTACTGGAAACTGAAGGAGGGGCCATGTTATTACCACGACTTCATCTGGAGCTGGGAGAGCAGTGCGGCTTCTTCTTTCTCTGCCATTCTCTTGCTCCCCTTCTCTCTTTTCTTTGCTTTTCTGCTGTCTTTCTTCTATGATGTTTTATGATGATTTATTATCATTTATGATTATGCCTTTTGCCTATTTATTGCCAAGGTCCAAGTCTGTGTTCCTCTTATTTGTTTCCTTGAACTGGGGTCGTAACACTGAGTATGCAGATACATTGCTACATAGAAAGCGTTTTGTGTTGTTGTTGTTGTTGTTTTACCTCTTAGGAGATATGTCCATTTCATTTCACTCAGAGGTTTATTGAAACAGAGAGTCTAACTCTAATTTTGTAAATATAAAAGAATGTAAGGATATATTGCTTTTTTTTTTAAAAGAAATGCTTTCACTTTAGGAAATGTTTCTCCAAAAATCTCTCTTCCTCTAGACTTTAACTACATTATAAATGTTGACCTAAATTTTGCAGGCCAGTAGTTATAGTCAACTGTGTGTGTGTGTGGGTGTGTGTGAGTGTGCATTCTGCTTGATGAGGTGAATCATGTGTATCTCACGTTCTCAGATTCAGTACCTCTTTTTTCTTTTCTCCTTCTCAAGTTTCAGTGCAAATTTCAATAACAGTGTGTATGAATTTAGCTTTTCCCCTATTTGCAATAGTGTCATTTAGTAAATAATGGAGATAATATAGCATGTGTAAAAGTCATCTCAAATTACTTCCTGCATTTGTTTGTCATTCTATAAAAATCTTTTCTTAATTCTTTAAAGATCTGAATGGAAGATTTACTGTTCAATAAATAAGTATTGCTAAGATTATTTGGGGGGGGGGTTCCCAAGCAGACGCAGGTTTGTTATGCAAGGCTAACGCCATGTCTTGTCAGGTGTAAAACCTGTACAGAATTAGATGTGGGACAGGCAGTTTTATTCTTCTTGCATCGCCAGAGGGAAATCATATACCATGTCAGTTTAGCCTGAGGACTAACACCCGTCTCCCTGTGCTGGCACAAATGTAGACACTCAAATACACGCATTATCTCAGTATCTCTGATTCCCAACTCATTCTGCTGTATATAATCAGAAAAAAAAAACAAATAGAAGAACAACGATAATAATAGTAATAGTCCTAGGTACCGTGTGTTGCATAAGTATTTACCACCACCCACTCACAGACTTCAGTATTATGGGCTAATTTGTGTAGATTCATGACATATAATCTCAGCTGAGTCAATTTCAGTTCCAGGATGTTCCAGGAACACTACAAAATGTAGAAAAGTTTAAGGGGGTAAATACTTATGTAAAGTACTGTACTTAGGTGTAGTGAAGTTTGCAGAAGAACAAAAGAAGAAGTCAAAAGTGAAAGTTTGTCCCTTCAATAATGTTTAAAAGGACCTCATAAGTAATTGTTTTTCAACACTTCAATTTGCGGTCATGGGACCTTGCAACATAAAAATACAAAACATAAAAGCATTTTTATAGAAATTATATACACATTAGCATATATAATCCAAAAATTGGAAATATTTTGTATAGCAGATACTGCTCATTCCTGACAATATCAGCATCAAGCGGAGGGGATTTTCAGCCAGGTTACATATGCACTTAGCAACAAGCAAAATTATAATTCTGAAAGAATTTGTGCAGTGTTTCTTTGGAACTATATCAGATAACATTATGCTAATTAGCTACCCTGCTAACTCTCCAGCAGAAGAAAGTGAAGTTAGCCATTATGCAGGCTTATATGGAGTACCTGAGAACAGCAATATAAATGTTATATTTTTTCAAATATATATATATATAATAAGTAGGTTAATTTATTGGTCCTGTGTTATTTACAACCAGTTTAATTTTTTTTTTCTTTTCTTTCTTTTTCTTTTTAAAAAAAAATGTAAATTCATTTAAAATTTATGATGTAGTCATTCTTAGTTTGTGCAGTTTTGTATCTCAGTTGTGTTGCACCTGTCTACCATTAACTCCAGGGGTGTCAAATATAAGGTCCTTGGTGGTAAAGGCTGTAATCCTGTCCTCTAAAAATTAATTTACAATCCATGCTCAAAATGTAAAGTCTTCATTTGCAAGCTAAAACTTTGACGCTGTAACCGTGTCCTTTTCCAAAAAAAAAAAAAAAAAAAAAAAAAAAACCTCCATTGTTCACAGCAATGCAATCACATGTGTAAATAATGAGTTATTTCAGTTCCAGATTGTAGAACTACAAAAAGCGGAAAAGTTCAAGGGGGTGAATACTTATGAAATTTATGGTAAAACAATTTTGTTTTTAAATGTGCTATTTGTTTGTTTGTTTGTTTGTTTGTTTGCACTGTTTTGTAGGTAATATGTGTTCAATCAATTTGTGCATTCAGAAGGTAGCTTTCATATAAATGCAGATAAATTAACACTGTTAAGAGGAGTTGTTGATTTGTTTTTGGTGAATTTTTTTTTTTTTTTTTTTGGTCTTGTAGAGAGGTGTTATTGAGTGCAGTAAGTGAGAATGTCGCGCCCTCTGGTGGATGGATCAGGTACATATTTGGCAACCAGAGTTCCCTTTAACTGTGAAACTAATTCCTCAGACTCATTACAGATTATTTTATGAACACAAACCATCTTTTCAAATATTAGCCTCATTATTTAAATATGTACAACAACATTCTGGCTATTTATTAGGGCCATAGGAGCTTTCTATTCCTGAACTTTCCACTGACAGACCACATTAGGCCCAAGCTGACAATTTATAGGCCTTATTGTTTTCGAGTTATTTAGATTGATTAAAATTAAACCAATTTAACCAAGTAAACAGTCAAAGCAGTTAATTGTGCTATAAGAAGTCAATATTAAATATAAAACCTCTGATAATGGTAACAAAAAACAGACCCCACACTTTAAGAACCACTGGTGTGCTGTATATATATGAATATAGCTTGAATATGATGAACAGAAACTCATTACTGCCCTTACACAAATAAATGTTATACAACATTAAAATGATATAGCTTAATGCAGTGTACTCAGAGTAAATTGTTCTAAGTACTATTCATTTGTATAAACGTTTTTTATGAGGTACACTACACACTCACTGAGCACTTTATTAGGAACAGCTGTACACCTACTCATTCATACATTTATCTAATCAGTCAACTGTGTGGCAGCGGTGCAGTGTTTCTGTAAGTGCTGATCTCCTGGGATTTTCATGCACAATAGTCTCTAGAGTTTACTCAGAATGGTGCAATAAAGAAAAACAGCCAGTGAGCAGCAGTTCTGCAGACAGAAATGTCTTGTTGATGAGAGAGGTTAAAGGGGAATGGCCAGAATTCTTCAAGCTGACAGAAAGGCTACAGTAACTCAGATAATCACTCTGTACAACAGTGGTGAGCAGAAAAGCATCTCAGAATGCACAACACGTCAAACCTTGAGGCGGATGGGCTACAACAGCAGAAGACCATGTCGTGTTCCACTTCTGTCAGCCAAGAACAGAAAGCTGAGGCTGCAGTGGGCACAGGCTCACCAAAACTGGACAGCTGAAGACTGAAAAAACGTAGCCAGGTCTGATGAA